CTGCTCCCGCCCCTCACGGGCCGCGGGCTGTGCACGGGCACCCAATGGCCCGGCGTGAGGGGCGCGATGGTGTCCGGGGGAGTTGTGTGTTTGCACTCATACAGGGGTGCTGGCGGTGCTGGTACTAACAGGGTAGCTCCAGCGTCGGAGCAGAGGCTGCGCGGAAGGCAAAGGGAGCAAAATCAGATCCCAGCCGCAGGGTTCAGGTTGTCGACATGTAGGTCGTGTCTGTGACCTGGTTCATAGCGACCAAATACCCGAGGACAGCTGTGCTGGTGACGCACTGGCCCCAGATCAGCATGTGGCCTTTTTTTACTGTCACTAGAGCTAAGAAGGGGCTGACACCGCGCTCTCAGGGACGGCTCATCTCCCAGGGTCACAGTCGATCTGGGAAAAGCCCCTTGACCTTTCCTCTTTGCTGGAGAAGGAGCTTTGATCTCCAGTGCTGCCTGGCCTTTTCCCGACACGCCAAGTCCACTTCACTGGGGGCAGGGTTTGAGTTACGCATTGAAGAATGGAATTAATGTCACATCTGAAATCTTCGTCTGTAACAGCAGGATCATGTGGCAGTAAAATAATACAAAACAATTGTTCCTTAATATTTGCATACAACTCCCCAGTTGAATTTTATATGCATATGTTTACAGAAACAGACATGTAAACTCTTTTTCATGGGAGGGAAGATCAAATTCCTCACAAGAAATCTGTGCACTTAGTTTAATAGACAGAGGAAAATACTTTAGCTTGTCAATAGACTGTGTTTTTTAACTTTATCTCATTTTTGTCTTCCTAGTATATATGTTATCCCTAGTTATGATTCTACTCCCCCTGTACTTTTTGTTTTATTATTTTATTGCTCCCTGTTTTATTATTTTATTGGGGGAGTTATTATGTTATTTTTCCATGAAACACATTCTGGTTTACTGCAGTGATCAAATGTTGGCATATGAAATATGAAATGAAGCAAAATATAGACATGAAATACCAGCAAATATAATGACTTTGATTTTTCCTGTCCTTGCTAAAAATTAAAATTTAAGAATTTGCCATTTGCTTTTGACTTTTTAAACTTGGTTTGCCTGCAAGTTGCAGATGAGCCACAGAAGTGAAAATATAATACAAATTTGTTTAAACCATCAAACCTGTAGGATAGCTTTTGTTTTGTTCCACTTTCTTCCTGAGGCCACTAATTCGTGACAAGCAGGAATCTCAAAATTAACTCTCTGCAATAAAATCTGGGTCAGGAAGCTCTCTGCAGCAGGCAGTTATTGCAATTTATAAGGTCACTATTTCTATTCCTACAAGATACTTTATTTAATCTGTTAGTGTGCTGAACCTGCTTAATATAAGTAACTCGAATATCCTTTGTGAGTAGTCTGAATAGGGAAATAGTCTACTAAGAACAATTTCTGTTGTTTGCATTAATTTTCTTTACAGCAACTTCTTTTCTTAATGTTTTCCCTGGTAGTTATATGCAGTAAGGTATGAACAAATATCTTGCATATTCAGTTTAGCTGTGAACAAAGGTAATATTGTAGCTGCAGGAAATACAGGAAGCGTGTTAGCTTCCCCATTTGTTAAAAGGACAAAGTTCCAGTAACTCAAAACCTGGGTGTTTTTCAAATCAAAACAAACTTCTACAAGAATTTTGCACATCAGAAGCACAACTGAGTTTTTTTTACTCAGATGAGCTTCTAAAAGAAGCATGTCTCCTTCATAATTCAGATTTGTTTCTTGCTTTGTATGATGGTTATGTATTACAGGCGGTTCTGAACAACATAAATTTCCATTCTTGCTTATATCTGTGAAGTAACTACTGTGGTAGTCCTGAATGTTGAGCAAGAAAGCTAAGTTTTAGGCACAAATGTAACAATATATGATGGTTCATCATCAGCCAAACTGCAGGTGAGCTAGGCAGGTGCAAATTGTAACCACTTCATATAATGCGTCCATCTATCCTGTCTTTAGCAGTGTTCTCACTTTATTTCCTCTCCAGACCACTGTTTCACCCTCCTTCTGAAACATGTGACAGTTTTAATTGCAGGTGTCAGAGAACAATGACTCTGAAGGACAGTGCCAAATTCTGAACTGCGGTACTCATCAGAGCGGGTCTCATTTCTGCTGATTAGATATTTTAACTTTCCTCTTCTGAACTGCCCTGGGGCAAGTTTTAAAAAGGCAGTAACAGCACTTGCAGTTGCTTGGTCACAGTAATGTTTTGCTGACTGTGCTTAAGAAAATGGAGCTGCGTTAACATTCTGCTTTTTTCCACAACAGATGGGTCCAGAAGAGTGGAATGAATGAAGCCTGGATTCCTGTCCATTTGCCTCCTAATAGCTCTCCATTGCAATCAGCTGTCGCCTCATGTTTCTTACGTCCTCACCCCTGCTGGAGACACAACGTGCCGTACTTAGAGCTGTGTTCCTGGTCAGCCAGCATGTGTAATAACTGGCCATGTTGCTGATGTCTAATGGAAGGTATCATGGTTGCTTTTTCCATACCTTTTTCTCTGTGGGGACAAAAATGTAAGGCTCTTCTTCCTAACCCAACAAGTGCTGGAGACCCAATAGGATGTGCTGGGATGAGTGCCCTCCTGACCAGCCAGAACATGTGGGATGAACTACTGGTATGGTTGCTGCTCTCTAGTAGAATGAGTCTGGTTGAGTTTCCTCTCCTTTTTATCCAGTATGGAGCAAAATTCTAATCTCTCCTCCCTAAACCACCTGCCAGCTTGTACAGAGATTTTTAGGGAGTAGATTATCTACTCAAATTTGACTTAGGAGGGATAGTTTGGCAAACAGGTGGACAGGCAGCATCATCAAAGTTTTTTCTCTTACAGAACCAGACTAACATTTTCTGCTAGGGACAAAGACAGCTTCTAATTCAACTTCTGTAAGGAAGGGTAAATGATACTCAGAAGGAGCAGTAAGTCTGGGTGGAAATTAATGGTAGCACGAGGAAGTTTGGAATGTAAGCGGAAGGAGTAGTCTGGTGACAAGTGTGTGTCATATTTGCAACACCTTGTGAAATTTCCAGCAGTATCAAGGGCAAATCACTGGCTCTCCGCCTGCAGATGGGTCTGCTTTTATGGAATTGGATTGGTACTTTAACCTACTAATACGTTTCTTTTTCTAAATATTTATATCACCCTTTACATGGAAAAAAATACAGAAATAGCAGTATAAACAAGGGTCATATCTTCCCGTTCTCATCTTTCTGTCACCCGACACTGCTGCCACACGAGCTGCTGGGGGCTCCCAGTACAGCCAAAACAGCCAAAGTAGGTGAAAGGTTGTGGAGGAGCACACAAACAAGCTGGCGTGCCTCTTCAGTAGTTCAGTGAGGGAAAGGTTCTGCAGCTGCTTCAGCACTTACACAATCTCCCACGTCTGCTTATAACTTGCAAAAGTCAGGAGTACAGTAGCTGGATCATTTTACAGATGGATCTGTGGCTGGTCAGCAGCCTGCTTGGAGCTGTAAACATGGCAACTCAGCAGCCCTGAGCAGGAGACACCTTTTTTCCTCATTCCCTGCCTTTGTTACCCACGTTTGAAATTATCTGTTATCTCCTTTAAAATCATGGAAAATAAGACTGGATTGCTGGTTTCAAAATTGCTTTTCCAAAAAAATAGCTAGAAGCTTGCACGAGATTAACTAAGGGTGTTTAAACTGGGAATGTAGAAATAGCTGAGGGAAAAAAACTGTTTTGGAGTATAGCTGTACCATTCAGGAAATAAAGCTAGGACTCAAACTGTGATAAACGTAGGACTCAAAAGTGTTTATCTTGAAATGCTTGTCACAATTCAGGAGGCTGCTTACTAAGTAGGGGAATAGTAATCTTCAGCCAAGTACACCATTGCAGAGGAAATAAAGGTAGACTTTCAGGGTGGGCTGGCACTGATCTAAAGTACATAGCTAGACACAAAATAATGTCCTTTTCCAGTCTCAGCTGACTACTGTAGCAGTTCTTGTGGAAGAGCATGTGGCATCCTCTATGAGAGCTGCAGATGCAGAGGAAAATAGAGGAAAGGTGTCATCAGGACAGCTGCCACTTTGGGCCATGGCTGCCTTTACTGTGAACAGCCTTGCTCTGGAGAAGACCACCTGGGAAAAAGTGGACACCTTGTAAAAAGTCAGGGCAAAAGAATACATCTTTTGAGGTCTAAATATGTTTCATCTGAACAGTTATATTTTTCTGTAAGAATATGGAAAAGGGGTTAGTGGAACAGGATATTTCAAATTAGAAGTTTAAGTTTAGACATCTTAGGAAAGATGTCTAAACTTAATCAGCATTTCCTTCATCAGATTTGAAAGTGTTTTTCTTTTAGTGTCCACATCATATGAACTTGAATGAGAAGTTTAGTCTAGAAAATACTAAGCCAAGACATCATGTAGAAAAGGGCTCTCTATGGTGTTACCTGGCCACACTTCCAAGAGGCTCAAGGTATCTCTGGAATACCACTTCTCCCTAGTGCTTTGGATTACCCAAGGGAAGTTTGTTTTTTGTTTGCAACATCCTGGCTATTATCGCTGAAGTGTGAATTCACAGATACTAATCAGCTGTTCTCATAAAGGCTGAGTTTCCGTAACATGCTTTACAGGAGTTGTCTACACAGTAGGTCTATGGGAGTTTTCTTATTTGATGAAATGTATAGCCACAGGCTAAGGTGTGATAACTGCAATTAAAAATGAAAATGTAGCTTGTGTATTAAAATATTCCTGATAAAGAGCCAGTACAATAAAAAAATGTTGCACTGAACAATTAAAATGCTTTGCCTTTGGGTCTGAGTAAGTGCAAAATATTTTTGTGTCGTGACTAACAGGTAATGGGTAAAATGCAACATTGCTGGAACATTAATAACAGTATAAACAAGGAAAGTCTCCCTCTCTCCATTTATTGTGGCAAAATCTCATGGTATATTAGACAAAATCCACAGTTTTGCTATGCAGCATTAAGTAAGTTTTCTTGCTACTATGATTTTTTTAATATTATTTATTACTCTGTCCACTTTGGTATTTTCAAATTCAGTTTTCAATATAGTGGTTATCTAAAAGTCACTGAAATGAAAACAAAATCATCAGAGCTATGGGGTACTTGATTTCCAAGATTTCTGTCTACCTAAAGTGGCATAAAAATCCACACCACACTAATTTAATATTTCTTCATTTCATTTATTGAAATTACACCAATATTATAAATTTACTATGGTGGTTGCATTTATATGCAGGCATTCATGAACACACATTTCATTTAATCTCTATATGGGAAAAGAACCCCTAGATATCAAAAAATACCAAAGGAAGAAAGTACTCAAATATTTACCTATTTAGAAGTTAAAAATATATGCAAATAGAAGTTTTGATTCTCTCTTATCTGGGGCATAATATCTAGGTACAAATGATCAGCAATAAGTTTGAAGGCATTGGTTCAAAACGCCACTTTTGAAAGAAAATATTTTAACATACAGGAGGATACAGTTTGTGAAATAGAGATGAAAAATATCTTTGTTGCGAGACCAATTAAATTACATATTTAGTTTGAAAAAAATATATATATTAACAAGACATATTTTCACTGCACAAAACCAGATTCACTAAAACGTGTAAGAAATCCATTTACACCATATAAGAAGCAGTGTAATTTCTTCTTACACACTCACACAACTACTGTTGAAGTGAGAGTTGTTAAGCCTTCCATTTTGTGGATACTCATTATGAATAAAGTTGAATATTTAGGCATTTCATCATTCCCAGAAAGAAATATAAGCTTCTAATTCTCTGTTTCTGGAGAAATGTTTTTAAATGTTAATATTTTATATTATAAATATTAATAATATTAAATCTTTTTGATATTCAGATCAATAAATAAATCCAAGGTAAACAATCTTGAAGATACTCTAGACAAGAGAAAACTTGGTAATCATCACAAGACCCCTTGCCAGCATTCAGCAGGTGCTATGAGGAAGGGCAGTGCTTTCCCCTGGGTTAGGTGTTGGAGAACCAGTTTTCCTTCTGCTTTTTGTTACAGATCTGCTACATGGAATCCTCTAAACCAGTTCCTTATTTGAAACTCCCTATATGCTGAAGCTTATGAAAGGGAGATAAGAATGTTATCAAAGCAATGTGGGATTTAATTGGAGTACAAGTCTGAAACGGATATTGCATGGGAGTGTTGCCATGCTGAAGTAAACAAGTGTATCTGTGTTTGGTTTTTTTGGTATTTTGGGCTTACAGCATACACTTCAAATGATGTACATGCTTATCTCTTCTCATGTATGGAAACAGTTCTTAAATTTTAAGCATTTCAATTAAAAGAAGTCAAATCAAATCAATGCCAAGGATCCTAGTTAGGATGTAATTTTTGCTGAAAATTACCTTCTTCAAGGCCTTGGGAAAAAAAAAACCCCAGTGATTTAGTAAAATTGAACAAATAAGGATATTTCTATCACATTTGCCTTAGTCAAACCTTCATTACATTTCCCCGCTTTTTGTGACATACAGTAAGTGGATATGGTATTATTTGCTCTTTACGTGAGAAAGACTCAAAAAAGTGTTGTACTGCATTTTGAGAAGCAGTCTGTAGTTTTGTATGAGCACTTCTGGCTGCTTAATAAAAGCTGCAAGACCTTGCAGGTCTGAGGGATTTCAGTCAGAGTTATGAACCCATAGCACCTTGAGAAATTATGTGCTAGGTCTGACCAACATGCTGAATTAAATTGTACTGTTGAAAACATGGGATAAATTTCCATCTGAAGTCACTCAAAGAGAACAGTTAGAGCATTTTGACTCCAAGAATTTTCTCTTTCAAATAAAAAGGTTGTCCCTATTTAACCATTCCTGAAGAAAAGTATCTAATATTGTACTTTTGAAACATCCAGATAATTCCAGTCCTTTACTGTCAGTTCATGATTCAAATATTGTGCCAAATGCTCAAATCCTTGGAGAAGACTCAGAGGGAACTCATAAAATTATATAGGAAAGGCACCAATTCACTCTTGCTGAGAAGTAATTTGGTTTGGTTTAGTAACCTGTGAAATAGTTCTGTAAAATTATGAACTTTAAGGAAACTGTGAAGAGTGTGATTATTGACATCTGCTGTAGGTGACCTTTATGTGCTGAAAAGATCACAAGGTAGTAAAGACAAAAAAATTACAACCTCCTTTTCTTCTTCTCTCTAATGGTCTGAAATTGAAAAATTGGATCTATTGAACCCCAGTTAAAGTTAGGACAGCCAAATGAAACAGGGCTACAACCTGCAACTTGCAGTTTTCCAAGTATGTAATTTATATACTTTAGAGACTAAATGCTGCTGGAGTGAGTCACCACTCTCACCTGAACATAAATCACTTCATGTTATTTCCATCCATTCACTCTCTCTTCCATTAACTTGCCCCTCTATGGTAAAGAAACATATCCCAGCATTTCAAAGGAATAGATGTACTCGTGCAGATCATCCAAAGCTGTTTGTCCTGATTCTTTTCTCAGTGCTGTGATAAAGGCTGTGTGCCTTGCTATCTTTCCTACTTCTCAGTATCTTTTCTGGCTGTTCTTTCTTTGCTATTTGTGTTAACATAATCTAAGCTTCTGGCAGCTTTATGAAATTTGTACTGGTATTGATCAGCTTGCAGGATATGGCAAATGCCTGAACGTCACAGTTGCTGGCATTACAGGACTATGTAGCAGCTAACATTCCTAGTGCATTAGCTGTGCAAATGACCTTTTAACTCTCCTTAAGAGCACCTCACAGTTGTCCTGAGTCAGTGTGCCAGTTACCACAGTAGTCTGAGGGTGGCATTTTAAGTGTCCCTCGTCATCTTGATATGGGACCTAAAAGGCAGTAGCATGACACTGGGTATGCCCTATGACACAGACATTGCCTGAGTGTGCTGGATGCTGGGAAATGCTGAAGGGGGCCCAGACCAGAGCCAGAACAGCATTGCTTTCTTTCATGTAAATATCCCCTTACAATTCCCCTGTAGTCACATCAGTTGAATTATTATATCCACAGCTCCCTTTGAAAAGGGACCCTGTCTGGTCCCGTCCTGTCTCACTGTTTTCATTTTAATAAACATGTTTTCCAGAAGTGTATTGAGAGCACAACTAGCATTGAGATATGAAATTGCCTTATTCTTCATTTTTTTTAATCACTATGAAAGTTATTAACATTTTTAATTTTTAAAATTTAATTTTATGGCTGATACACTGTTTACATCATCGTCAAAAGGATGTGTTTCCCAGTTCTAGTAGAATTGTATGGGCTGTCTGATCCTAGCTGCTGTATTTGTACATAACCTTGACTTGGCCAAAGAGAAAGCCTTTATGCTTGCAGAACAGTTTTGTTCTGTGTCATGACTGGGAAACTGGGCCATCACCAGTAGGGTGCAACCCAGATTTTCAAATGCCTTTTAGAGTATTTGGGGCTCTGACAGCTGTGTCTGAAAATAAGGAGAGGTTGTTTACAGGAAAGGACAGGCTTGGTATGCTCACTAACTACTGCACTGCTGAAAAGCTGGCTGTAATATTCTGTACTCAGAGTTCAGATAGTGACTCATGAGTTGTATGAGTTAAGTGGATGATTTTCAGCAGGATGGTGGGAAATCTTATTGCCAACTGCACATAATAAGTACTGTGCATAGCTACTGCAGTGTGAGATACTAGAGGGAATTGCTAGGACATCCCTGAAGTGATGGGTTAACTTCTCAGCCAGAGGGAAGTTGTACATGTGTTATTTCCGGTTACTGGATAGTAACCAGTGTGAATGACTGTGAATGAAGTCCAAATTCAATGGCCATTCAGTTCAATGTCTCCAGTCATTTCAGCTGTAGTTTTAAGTGGGATCTGGATCAAACCGCTCTCTGTAAGATTTGAGATAGCAAAAGGCACACTGAAAGGAAAAAGGCAGTTTCATAGTTCATATTTTAGTTTTTCAATAATTTCTAAAGGCTTCTAGGGAAGTATTTTTTTAAGTCTGATTTTCCCTTTGTTCGGTTTCCTACATTATGCATAGACTAATTCTATGAGTTGAATTTATTTTTTTTTTTTATGACTGTCTAACTTGGGGAAGTCAGTGATCGGTCCACCTTTGTAACAAGGAAAAATAAACCAGACATTCCTATTCTTGTTTTGAAATACTTTTCTCTGTGTGCTTTGTTCTTTCTGTTCTTCTAAAATAAGCAATACTTCTGTTTTAAAAGTGCTCTGCCAATGTCTTGCTCATGGGCTTTCAGAGGAAACATAGGATATCTGAATTGAGAGAGACCATCAGGGAGATCTGGTGACAGCAACCAGGGGCAGGAAAGGAGGAGGAACTGATAATTCCCCCATGTGAGGACCAACATCTGAGTGCATTGTGATCAGGACTGTGATCAGAAGGGAAGCAAGGGACACCTAACCCTGGAACTGCCTGTCTCTTCTCCAAATGTGGTAAGGAAATATTAGAAAGGTAAGATGGAGCTCTGAACGGAAATTTTTAATTGACTGAATATTGCTTTATGCAGGACCACAGTGAAAAGAGCCTCCTGCTATTTGTTGTTGGGGCCACCATGCTCTGTCAGACAACTCTTGTAAGCTTCCCAGTCTAGGCATGCATGACATGTTAGGTAGCTTCACTGAGCCATCCCACCCATATCCATACAGTGTAGACTTCTACAATGGATATCCTGCAGAGAGATGCTATAAAGGCCTTTTTAACATTTATACCACCATATATAGGACTCTGATTAGCTGTTGCTATTATGCTACAGAGGAGAGATGATCTTGCTGGGTTTTTTGGTATTGGGGAGGGGTAGGAAAGTGAAAGAAAAAGTGGACTTAGTACCTGTACTCAAGACTAGTCAAAGGATGAGACATGGATTGTAAGTTGCTGCACAGTTCATTCTTTGCAGAGCAATCAAGTCTTCTGTTTTTTTCTTGTCAAAACATCTTCGTTTTCCTTACTCCTTCAGGTTTTGGATAGATGCTCTAGCTATCAGGAGGAACAGTGTTTTGGGTTTTTATCCATGACTCAGTGATATATATATATATATATATATATACACACACACACACACACACACACACACACACACATATATATATATATATATATATATATATATATATATATGTTTAGAAACTCCCTAGATATCTTAAAGATGTAACTCTGTTGTCTGCCTAAGCCTAAATTTTGAAACTGGGAACTCAGCAGAGAATCAGATATAGGCTGCTGCTTCAATCCAGGCAGTAAAACCTCATGAAACATGGGAAACATCCCTAAGGCACTTCAAGGAATTGCATAAATTATGTGTTCTGTAGTAAGTCTCTAGCTCTAAGCTAAACAAAATTTTTGAAAGGTTTTCACACCCCACCCTGGCCTTTGTGTTAGCTCCCAGATCAAGACTGTTCCTGCCCAGTTAGTCAACATCTGGAGGGAACAATACACAGATGTCATTTGCTGCTGACTGCAGACATCAAGCCTGAAGATCCAAATCAGCGAAGGCATCTCTCACTGTAAAGTTGTATTCAAAATGAGAAGCTGAAGATTTTTTAGAAGAAAAGGCAGTCTGAGCAAATAATCACAAAAGAATGAGTCTGAGAAAGATGGCCTGACTGCCTCTTTAAAACAATTAGAGGAGAGGACCCAGGCATAGCTGACCTCCTTCTTTGTGCTAACTTAGGAATGGTTCCTTAGATATTGTGAGGGTTGGCATCCATACGGGCCCACACCTTGCGTTTTGATCGAGGTTTGGCAGCCCTCTGCACTTCTGAGTAGAGTAGGGAAGAGAGCTGATTTGGGGGAAAGGGCAAGGGCTTCTGAATGGAAGACCTGTACCTTATCCTTTAGGAAAGTAATTTTTAAGTCAGGTGCACAGAAGTGTCTCATCTGGCACAGGGGATATTGAGGGATGGGAGAGCTCTGCTCAGCTGTGAAGAGACGACAGTAGGCATAGCTGGAGTAAGCACTGGACTTGGAAGGCACTGAAGGCATGCTTTTGTGTGAACCCCTTTATCAAGGGTTTTACAGATTGGAATGAGGTTGGACTGAGTGGGAAAGGCTGGTGGGTGTCAGGTGAGCACTAAATCCTCCGTCCCAGCTCTTGTTGCCCTTGGGCAGTGTTCAGCACTGCGTTGAGAGCCAATACCCTATGCTTTATATTAGGATGGATGGTGGTGTTAGAATTAGGGTAAGAGTTACACTTCAGGAGAGTAAAAAGAAAATTGAAATAAGCTAGATACCATCATTTCCTGTGGGATCTGCTTGGACATGGGCAGGTCTGGTGTTGACAGTGCACTTAGACAACATTTTCATCAATATACTCAGGTCATGTATTTTCTTGTGGGCTAGTTACTAGTTACTTTGCTATTTTTACTTCAAGGATTATTTCAGATTTAGGGACAGAAAGAAACAGAGTGGCTACATATATAATTTAGAATTCAAATGAGGTTTGATATCCACACAGAGCAATGGTGTTGTAGTGATTTCTGTGAAAATTTTAGTCACAAAATGAACAGTAAGATTTTTGAGGATATCAATTTTCCATAAGTATAAACTCACATGACTCCTTTTCCTTGGTAAAATATTGGTGAGAACTGACCCTAGCTCTGTATGAAATTTCAGTACAATTTTGCACTAAAGATACAAAGTGTGTAGGACAACGAACAAGCTAGTATATTAGTATATTATTGTCATCTACTTTTCAAGCAAACAGGTTGTGAGCATTTGAACTGAGTCTAGACATAATTGGAGCCTGGATTACATCTGCTGCATGACATAAATTTGAAGCTACTAGCTCACATAAATAGAAATTTGTTACTTTAAGGAAGATATGAAAGAGATATAAACATAGCTTGGACAACTTAGTTTCTGTGAGAACCATGGCAGTTGTAGTTGTGGCACTTAGAAACAGCCTGTTTATGAAAACATGAAGGCAGCCGTGCAACAGTATGTCATTCCTCTTTTACTCTGGCAGACAGTACTTAAATACCATCTTGCAACTTAACACAATAAAGTGAGAAATATTTCCTATTCCATGGACCTTTTCTCCTCCTTATGGCTGAATTCATTGAAGACACAATATTTTTTCTCATTTGTGAAGTGTCAACATTTCCATAACACGTAATTTTTTTCCCACTGTGGAAAGAAGCAGTTCCTCATTTACTGGTATTTGTCTAAGAACTTGGCATGCCTACATGTGACCAAGTATCCACATGCAGAAGGATTTGTATTTTCCCTCTGAGCAGAGGTGGTAAGGGAAAACATGATATAGGTGTACAGAAATAGACTGGGTATTTAGGATTCTAGTCAAGTTGTCAGATCTAATCTAGGCCTCTAGTAGGGCTAAACCTATTTTCTCATTCAATACAGACATTCTGTAATATTCTGGAGGAAAATGCTATAGAGTTGAAAATTTAAATTTTCATTGGAATTGAAAATAATTCTGATATTATGCTATACATTCAACTTTTCTGTCTAAAATCAGGTAAAGGAAATTATTTTAGAACTGAAAAATGCCTTTTATGTGCCCAAGTTTTTGGTAGTCCAGCTCAAAACATCTTAAATGGATAAAAAAATGTTCTTTCAGAAAGTTGACTTACAGACTGACATTGAGCAGACAGACACTACTGTATCCCATCTTTGGCATAGTGAAAATATGTGCTAAGGAAGCTGTTGCAAAACAGAAAGGCTCATTCTTCCTGGCCCAGAAAAAAGTAAGTTTCTGCTAAGTGCTTTTAACTAGATTTTGCTCCTGGAATCTTGCTGTGCACTGTGCAAACATAATTTATGTAGCTGTTAAAAGAAATGTGTGTTGTAGCCATTCTTGGTAAATAATCAGAGAAAACTTTCTAAGTTAATTATATTCTAATAAATGGCAGAAAAAAAGCCCAAAATTTTGTTAAACCAGAGTTATTTTGTCTAGAAAGCAAAGGGTTTTTAAATGGGCAGTAGACATTATGTAATTTGATAATTCTGTCTGTGTTCCTTGAGACTTTGCACCCCAGCAGATTTCTGTGGCAATGCAGGATATCATGACAGCTAACCTGGCCTAGGTTAGGTTTGCCTGTGTGGCATTGTCTAAGTTCAAGAATGTTGCCTGCTGAGATCCTGAAATGTTTTCTTCTTATAATCCTCATCTTTTATTTTGCCTGGCTGTAAAATCATACCTAAGACTATTATTTATTCCTTTTTATTTTTATTTTTCTTTGTTTTCAGTGTGTATAGTTGGTCATTTGAATATATTTGTTGTTAGCTAAAGAATTATTTAGGTGTGTTAGTTTGAATGACAATTGAAGGTTTCTGAGCAAAGATAACAATTTTCCAAGAAAAGTCTTCAGGCTACTACTACCAAAACTAGCCTGTCACATTATTATATATTGCCAACAGACAGTTCTACAGAGTGTAGAAAATCTGTAAATACTTTGGAAGTTACTTTATTGCAGATGCTAGAAAAATAATATTTCTTTTTTCTGAACATTTTTCTCACTGTTTTCTGTATTATTTTCAGGCCATCTCATGATTCTGAGTGTGGCAGTGGAATAAAACATAATAGAAAGGGTCCAGTCCCAAGTCCAGTCCCTACACACAAAGAGATCCTCAGATGACATGGCAAAAGGAATCTTGGGTAGTTTTGTGGATCCTGCACAAAGGAATGCCAAAGCCATGGAAGTCAGTTTGTGTCAAGAGAATAAAATGTGTTACATAACAAGTTCAATATACGGCACAGATTTAGATAGTATTACCTGCAGATGATAACTTCTTCCTCCAATCCTCCAAGTGATAGAGAAGCCAGTTAGGAGAAGTGCACTGCTGGACCACATCCTCACCAAGGAGGGGATGTGAAGATCCAAGACAGCCTTGTGTGCAGGTCAGTCTGCAGTGACCATGAGATGGTGGAATTCAGGATCCCAAGGGCAAGGAGGGTGGAAAGACAATGTCAGAACCCTGTACATCAGGAAAGCAGACTTTGGCCTTTTCAGAGATCTTGAAAAAAATGCTGTGGGATGAGGCCCTGGAGGAAAGGTGGGGCTAAGAAAGATGATTAGTATTAAAAGCTTACCTCCTACACAGTCAAGATCGTTCCATCCCAATGAATAAAAACAGACAAAAATTTCAAGAGGACCATGTGAATAAACAAGTTGTTCTTGGCCATCCTCAAACACAAAAAGGAAGCAAGGATGAGTAACCTGTGAGGAATACCTGTGAGAATCATTGTCTTCATCACACTGAGTGATGAAGTTTGCAAAACTAAAACCCAGCTGGATTTGAATCAGACCAGGGGTGATGGAGACAACAAGAAGGGCTTCTATAAGTACACAGGTGACAAAGGGAAGACCAGGGAAAATGTGGGCATCTTGCTCAGTGAGGTGGGGTATCTGGCTATGCAGGGCTTGGAAGAGGTTGAGGTTCTGAATGTCTTCTTTGCTTCCATCTGTACTAGCCTTCAGGAATCCCAGGTCCCAAAGACCAGGAGGAAAGGCTGGATCAAAGAACGTGCCCTTGGTGAAAGAGAGTCAGATCAGGGAATACTTAAGTAAACTGGACATATGAGGCCATGGGCCCTGACAGGATGCTGAGGGAGCTGGCATATGTCACTGTGAGGCCACCTTCAATAATCTTTCACTGATCTTTGATTGTTCATGATGACTGGGAGAAGTACCTGAAGACTGGAGGAAGGTAAATGCCACTTCTATCATTCAGAAGGGAAAGAAGGAAGACCCAGGGAACTGCTCGCTGGTTAGCCTCACTCTGATCTCTGGGAGGGTGATGGAAGAGCTAATCCTGGAAACCAATCCCAGGCACATGAACAATCAAAAAAAAAATAAATAAAATCACCAGGAGTAGTCAGCATGGCTTGCCTAAGGGGAAGGGCTTGACCAACTTGAGAAACTTGTATGATGAAGTGACTGGCCTGGTAGATGAGTGGAGACCTGTGAATATTGTTTACCTGGACTTCAGTAAGGCCTTTGGCACTGTCTCCCATAAGATCCTTATAAACTAGCTGTTGATATATGAGCTGGATGAGCAGTAAGCTGGGTTGAAAACCAGCTGAACAGCCAGGCCCAGGGGGTGGTGATCAGAGGTGTGAAATCTTTGCTGCACTTCCCTCAATAAGTCCATGTCTGTCTTCTACTGGGGCCTCAGAACTGGACATAGTACTCCAGGTGTGGCCTCAGCAGTGGTGAGTAGAACAGAAGGATCACTGCCCTTGACCTGATGGCATCACTTCTCCTAACACAGCCCAGGATCCCTTCAGCCTTCCCAGCTACACAGCCACATTGCTTGCTTATGTTCAATTTTACATCTACCAGGACCCCAGATCTACTGCAAAGATTCTTATATGCTGGGTGTCCCGCAGCATATACTGGTGAATAGGGCTGTTCCTCCCCAGATTCAGGACTTGTCCTTTCCCTTACTGAATCTCCTAAGCTTCCTGCTCACCTGTTCCTGTCAAGACAGGGTCCCTCTGGATGGCATCATGACCCTCTGGTATATCAGCCACTCTGCCCAGCTCCCAGATTTGTGTCATCTGCAAATTTTCAGAGGGTACACTCAGACCATTGATGAAGATTTTGAGCAGAATTAGACGCAGCCGTGACCCCTCAGGTACACTGCTGGTTCCTGGCCTCTGACTAGACTCTGTGCCTCAGATGTTCAGACAGTTTTCAGGGCACCTCACTGTGTATGTCTATCCAGGCCATGCTTCATTGGGTTCTCTGTGAGTTTCTTATGAGAGACAGTGTCAAAGGCCTCACAGCAGTTCAAGTAGACAATATCTTCTGCTCCGCCCTCGTCTTGTACTTTTCTTTATTCTTTGCCTGTAATTTGTGTTTGTAACTCCCTCTCTATGGCCGCCAGGATGGCAGAGCTAAGTGCACCAGTACACAGTTTTCAAAACAGTGATCTTCTCAAAGAGAGAACTAGTTCCACTGGGGTTTTAAAACCTTTAACTGAGAAGTATAAGAGTGTAGACAAAGTTATCCCTCAATCCTTTGGGGACGTGAGCCATAGCTAAGCAAGCCCGCAGTCCTGCTGCCCGGGCAGAGTGAATTGTGTCCCTGACACCTAGTGGCAACATGGCGCTGTGTAACAGTAATTGAGTCTGTGATACTGGCTTTAATCATGATGCTCACACTTTAAGGAGGTGTTTTATTTTCCTTTTCTGTGTATTAACCCCATTTGTACTAATGGAAGATCAAGCATCAATCAATGTCTAAAGTCTTAATGGAAGTTTTGATATATAATGAGAAGTCTGAATAAATAGGATTGAGAATATGAATAACTGTAGTTTTTTGCTAGCAGTGTATCAAACATGAGTATTTGAACAAATTCAAAATAAAGAGTGGAGTAAGGAAACAAAGTGATAATAAGTAATGACTTATTAGGGCTGATTTTCTTATCTCCTATAATTTAGACATAAAACTTAGTTATTAAATAAAAATTTGAATGAGAAAAAATCAAAAATGAATGGTGGCTGTCCCATTCACTCTGTTATATTATGTGTATATCCTGCCATGGAATATACCTGTACCCTTTCATTTATCCATCATATTTTCCCGAAAAGTTTGATGGTTAATAAAGCAATGTATAGTGAAATTATTTTTGCAATAATAATTAAAGTGATAGGTTAATGGACTAAGGACATATTCATACAGGAACAGAATCTATGTTTTTGTGATGGAGAGCAGGATCATCAAGTGGATAAAATGCTGGCTTTTCAGCATTTCAGGTGCTGTGGAGCACTTCATTCTTCTGAAAGATCCCGGCCACTTCATCTGAAGACTGAACTTCCCATCAACCAACTGGATAGACCCTGACTTGTCTGAAAATGGTTATGAAAATATACTATTTAGACAGAGGTAGAAAAAGCACTTACAGTGGAAGACTAACAGTGAGCACCTCTGTGGGAGAGATCACCAGACATGAAAGAGGCTGCAGTTTTGGGTAGCAGAACATGGGACTGATATCAATAGCACAAACCTAAGGATCTGTTTATGAGGTTCCCAAATGCTTTCTCTTACTGTGTCAATGGTCATTCCAAACTGATCTCATATCTCAAGAGTCACTTTGTACATAACTTGGCTTATCTTGAAGGAGGGTGGTGATCTGAAATAATTGCAGAGACATGGCAGTGGTATGTTATGCAAAAGCTTCTCTTTCAATGTGACACCAGATGGTGATGCTACATATCTGTTCGGTGTTAAGTTGTGCACAATGCACATTACATGCACTCTGAGCAAGGGGGATTTTGGCACTGACTTCCATGTAATCATCATTGGCTCCTGTACAAAAATAGGAGCCTGGGGCTTGTCATTGAAATATTGCATACTTACATGTCTCATAGAGCTCACTGAAAATTTTTCCACAATTTGTTTCATAGCTTATGTGCATGTCAGAGATTTGGGGACAAGGATAGAATACTCCAAAATATTAATAAAAGCCACAAAACCCAAAACACATAGAATTAAATAATAGAATTATCTCAGCATGCATTGAAATTCATTGAAATGAAGTTTCCTGTTATACACAGAAAACCATTCTTCAGGTAAACTGGGAAGATAAAATCTTTATTAAAAGTAGACTATTAGCTGTCTTCAGGATTGTAATTAAAAATTAAATAAAAAGTATGTGTATAGGATGAATTAGTGGAAAGAAGAGTATCTGGTCATGCTCAAAAAAAATATGTTTATGTACTGGACAGAGTTGTGTGTATACTGTCTAGACACACACACGGAACTATTTTATTTTCATCATAGTCATGGTGAGAAAACCATGCTGAGGTGAGGATACATTAATCTTCCTAGTGTAGAGTGTGATATAGGTAATGGTTCCTCTGGTTCAGTTTGACATTTTTCACAGATACTTACTTTTCTATTAACTCTGTGACACCTTTATAGTAATACCACAGGAATTGTTTTTGTAGGGGATGTGTTGAAAAAGCAGTATGCCTTTATAAATTCATCTACTCAGATTAGTGGTTGCAAACACAAAACTCCATCATCATCATACTAATGTAGTGTTAAGTTAGCAGTGCCTTTCTAGATCTTTATGAGATCTGCTGTGTTTTCTTTTCTTGTGTAACCCTGGAACAAGATTTTTAGGATGTGTAATACACCGGGGAGACAATTGCAGCACCTCTGTAAACTTTTTACTCTTAGACTGCTTACAATGATTTCAACATAATTTCATGTAATCATCATATTGCCTTGCTATAGTTCTATTTATAGCACATTAATAAAGGCTACTGGTGGTGAGGAGGATTTTACTGTACTGCAAAGCCTGACAGTTAATTTTCAAAAACTAAATCCTGCTAATGAATTACTGCTCCTGGATAGTTTTGGAGAGGCATTAGCTATATGTGCCAGACCTGGCAGCTGTGCTTCTGGGAAATGGTGAGACGCAGGAAGCAGATATGGACTGCAGGCAGCTGTCAGGCAATTATGTAAAGGAAGGTATCAAAGAAAACACTGCACAGCAGGTGCAGTCCAGGGAAAATGGGGCAACATAGCCACTGACACAGAAATGAGGAGGGATGTA